CCTGGACTACGCTTGGATGATGAGAAGATTGGGTACGGTTGTTTTTTGTAATAATTGTGCATTGTAATTGCTTATTGGTAATTTATGGATAATGTGTTAAGTCAATTGCTATATGTTGTATGGAACCACTGCTGTTTCTACTGTTTCTGTTTGTGAACCGCTGTGAGTCGCCTTCGGGCTTGAGATACAGCGGTATATAAGCAAAGTAAATAAATAAATAATAAATAAATAAATATAGTTCAATATAGTAATATTTAATACTGATATTGTACTATGCTCATATAATATATTGTATGTATATATATATATATATATATATATTGTAAGATATTGTATATACATCTAATATTTATAATATTATAATGTAATGCAATATAATATAATACTACTAATAATAATATGATATAATTATATATTTATATTACATGTAATATCACTAATATCACAATATAATGGTATAGTACAATATAGTAATATTTAATACTGATATTGTACTATGCTCATATAATATATTGTGTGTATATATATATATTGCAAGATATTGTATATACATCTACTATTTATAATATTATAATGTAATGCAATATAATATTACTATATTATAATGTAATATCATAATACTAATAATAATATGATACAATTATATATTTATATTACATGCAATATTACTAATAATATTGCAATATAATGGTATAGTACAATATAGTAATATTTAATACTGATATTGTACTATGCTCATATAATATATATTGTAAGATATTGTAGATACATATAATCTTTGTAATATTATAATGTAATGCAATATAATACTACTACTAATATGATATAATTATGTATTTATATTACATGCAATATTACTAATAATATTGCAATATAATGGTATAGTACAATATATATATATATATATATATATATATAGTGTAAGATATTGTATATACATCCAATATTTATAATATTATAATGTAATGCAATATAATACTACTAATAATATGATATAATTATATATTTATATTACATGCAATATTACTAATAATATTACAATATAATCGTATAGTACAATATGTATATATATTGTAAGATATTGTATATACATGTAATATTTATATTATAATGTAATGCAATATAATACTACTACTAATAATAATATGATATAATTATGTATTTATATTACATGCAATATTACTAATAATATTACAATATAATGGTATAGTACAATATAGTAATATTTAATACTGATATTGTACTATGCTCATATAATATATTGTATGTATATATATATATATATATATCGTAAGATATTGTATATACACATAATCTTTGTAATATTATAATGTAATGCAATATAATACTACTACTACTACTAATAATAATAATATGATATAATTATATATTTATATTACATGCAATATTACTAATAATATTACAATATAATGGTATAGTACAATATGTATATATATTGTAAGATATTGTATATACATGTAATATTTATAATATTATAATGTAATGCAATATAACAATACTACTAATAATAATATGATATAACTATATATTTATATTACATGCAATATTACTAATAATATCACAATATAATGGTATAGTACAATATAGTAATATTTAATACTGATATTGTACTATGTTAATAATATAATATATTAATATATATTGTAGGGTGAGAAGGAATATTACAATATAATGGTACAGTACAATATGTATATATATTGTAAGATACTGTATATACATGTAATATTTATAATATTATAATGTAATGCAATATAACAATACTACTAATAATAATATGATATAACTATATATTTATATTACATGCAATATTACTAATAATATCACAATGTAATGGTATAGTACAATATAGTAATATTTAATACTGATATTGTACTATGTTAATAATATAATATATTAATATATATTGTAAGCTGCTCTGAGTCCCCTTCAGAGTGAGAAGGGCGGCATATAAATGCCATAAATAAATAATACTCTTCCCCAGGACAACAACCCTAATTAAATGGCTATGTGGGCGAAACGTCTGGAGAGAATGCTTCTGGCACATAGCTTGGTAAACTCACAGCAACCCAATAAATGGCTCTGCTTTGGAAAACTGTATTAAAGATGAGGAACATCAATCCCAATATGTGGGGGAAATGTGTAAACACAGTGTGCAGCGCCTCTGAGCATGTACAGAGTGCTTTCCCGCCCCACTCTCTCTCTCACACAAACACAGGCAAGCCCCAGAGCTCTGAAATGACAGGGAATTAAAGCTTTCCGAATATAAAACCCGACTTGGTTGCTTAGCTTTGGCTTCCTTACCCAGCCCGGCCTTTCCTCATCACCCGCCGTTACTTCTCCTTCACCCGCCGAGCTGCGACTGCTGAGGAGCCGCTGATAAACGCTCAGAGCGCGAGCAACCCCACCGCGCATGCGCAACGCGTCCGGATCAATTTAGAACTTCAACTCCCAGAATGCCACATCCTCGACTACGTTGGCGGAGGTTTCTGGGAGTTGAAGTACGCAACTGATGAAGGCTGGAAAAGCGTGAGAAAAATTGAGGAGATGCGAAGGAGAGAGGGGAGGGGTTTAAAAGCCTGCTTCAATGCATGAACTGCGCACGCGCGTTTTCGAGCTCCGTACGTTCTGGAACAAAGCGCATGCGCTGTTTGAAAGTGGAAGTGGACTTCGGGCAAAGCATCTCGGGAATTGTAGTTGATTGACTACCTTATACAGGAAGCCTCAGGTGTACATTTGGGTGCATCTTTTTAGTATAGAGGATGATGATGAGGCATGAGCTGCAGATGATGAGGAGACTAAGAGACATAGAATAATAGAATCAAAGAGTTGGAAGAGACCTCATGGGCCATCCAGTCCAACCCCATTCTGCCAAGAAGCAGGAATACTGCATTCAAATCACCCCTGACAGATGGCCATCCAGCCTCTGTTTAAAAGCTTCCAAAGAAGGAGCCTCCACCACATGCTGGGGCAGAGAGTTCCACTGCTGAACGGCTCTCAAAGAGTTGGAAGAGACCTCATGGGCCATCCAGTCCAACCCCCTGCCAATAAGCAGGAATATTGCATTCAAATCACCCCTGACAGATGGCCATCCAGCCTCTGTTTAAAAGCTTCCAAAGAAGGATCCTCCACCACACTCCGGGGCAGAGAGTTCCACTGCTGAACGGCTCTCACAGTCAGGAAGTTCTTCCTCATGTTTCGATGGACAACTCCCTGCCAAGAAGCAGGAATATTGCATTCAAATCACCCCTGACAGATGGCCATCCAGCCTCTGTTTAAAAGCTTCCAAAGAAGGAGCCTCCACCACACTCCGGGGCAGAGAGTTCCACTGCTGAACGGCTCTCACAGTCAGGAAGTTCTTCCTCAGTTCAGACGGAATCTCCTCTCTTGTAGTTTGAAGCCATTGTTCCGCGTCCTAGTCTCCAAGGAAGCAGAAAACAAGCTTGCTCCCTCCTCCCTGTGGCTTCCTCTCACATATGTGTACATGGCTATCATATCTCCTCTCAGCCTTCTCTTCTTCAGGCTAAACTTGCCCAGCTCCTTAAGCCGCTCCTCATAGGGCTTGTTCTCCAGACCCTTGATCATTCTAGTCACTCTCCTCTGGACACATTCCAGCTTGTCAATATCTCTCTTGAATAGCGGTGCCCAGAATTGGACACAATATTCCAGGTGTGGTCTAACCAGAGCAGAATAGAGGTTAGACCACATGTTTCTTTCCTCTTCAACGGATGTGTGGCAAGAATAAAAATTGATTAAATTGAGTTTTATTGCATTATTACACACCAGTATTATGGAATCCTGCGAGATGTAGTTTTACAAGGTTTTTCCTATTTCTTTTTCAAAAGGAGCTGGTGCCTCACCAAACTACAAATCCCAGGATTCCATAGCATTTCCATCTTGTCTCCTGTGCTTTACGAATCGATATTAGTAAAACTACATCTGTACATTGTACATTTACTACATTGTAAATGTACTACTATGTACATTTACTACATTAGTAAAACTAACAAAACCAACCCCTTTCCAATGCCAGAGATACAGCTTAATGGTGTAACATTAGAAAATGTTGACCATGGCAGCCACCTCTCCACCAAAATCAACATCGACACCGAAATACAACACCGCCTGAGCTATGCGAGCGCAGCATTTTTCCGAATGAAGCACAGAGTGTTTGAGGACCGGGACATCCGTAGGGATACCAAGGTGCTTGTCTATAAAGCTATTGCCCTCCCAACCCTGCTATATGCCTGTGAAACGTGGACTGTCTACAGACGTCACATGCAACTCCTGGAACGATTCCATCAGCGCTGCCTCCGGAAAATCCTGCAATTCTCTTGGGAAGACAGGTGGACAAATGTCAGCGTGCTGGAAGAAGCAAAGACCACCAGCATTGAAGCGATGGTCCTCCGCCACCAACTCCGCTGGACCGGCCACGCTGTCCGGATGCCCAAAGCAGTTACTCTACCCCGAACTCAAGAAAGGAAAACGGAATGTTGGTGGGCAGGAAAAGAGATTTAAAGATGGGCTCAAAGCCAACCTTAAAAACTCTGGCATAGACACTGAGAACTAGGAAGCGCTCCAGCTGGAGGTCAGCTGTGACCAGCAGTGCTGCACAGTTTGAAGAGGCATGAATGGAGGGTAAAAGAGAGAAACGTGCTAAGAGGAAGGTGTGTCAAGCCAATCCCAACCGGGACCCCCTTCCACCTGGAAACCAATACCCTCACTGCAGGAGAAGATGCAGATAAAGAATAGAGCTCTACAGTCACCCACAGATCCATCAGAAAACTGATCCTGGAAAACTATCCTACTTGGCCAATGAGGGATCGCCTAGGTAAGTAAGTAAGTAAGTAAGTAAACTAATCGATATAAATAAAAATATAATGTTAGTTTGTGGGATTAACATAACTCAAAAGCCACTGGACGAATTGCCTGTTCTTAAAATGGAAAGCACACATCTGTGTTTTAGATGAATTAGGAATCCGCTGGTTTTCCTTGTAATAGGCAGTAAGAGCATCTGAAGCTGTTCAGCTATTTCAAAGCTCCGTGCTTGGGTAGTGATGGCACGATCGTCAGCATAGGGGGGGGGAGACACATGAGAGAAGCTACCCTGCAGAATTGCAACACATATGGGCGTCTCCTGGACAACATCTTTGTAGACAGCTGATGCTCTCACACCAGAAGCAACCAGAAGCGACTTGCAGCATGCAACCAAACAAACAACTCTATTGCGTAGAGCAGGCATGGGCAAACCTGGCCCTCCAAGTGTTTTGGACTTCAACTCCCACAATTCCTAACAGCCTCAGGCACCTTCCTTTTCTCCTTCAGCCACTTAAGCAGTTTGTCCATGCTTGGTGTAGATGCACTCTCAAGCTCTTTGCCAGTGCTTTTGAGTAGTAAACTTTTTCCATGTTTTTATGATACATCCAATTAGGAAATGACCTTTATAACCCAGGAACAAAAATCATGTTACCTAGTGTAATTAAATCCTTGTATTTATTACTAATGAGAATAAGAACTCTGTGCCTTAGAACTTTCTCACATATTCCACTGTTACTCCAGGCGATTATAACTTCTGGCAGCTATTTTTATTTGAACTGTTCTCTACACTTCCAGGAATCATCCACAGTTTCCTGAAAATGATGCATTAACTGTAATTTGAAGCTCCTTTGCTGGAGAACTCCCTGTTTTCTCTGTTTCTTCTGAGTGAAAGTCATACGTTTACTTGGAATTTGAGGTCTTCAACAGAGCTCCTGTTGTGTCTTTTTACCATTCCAAAAGGCTAGGTTGACGAATATACAGCATTCCCAGTTATGGGCTTGTGCTCCATAACATAAGTGGTCAGTAAGGTTGTGAGTTCAGGATTGTAGTATTTTTATCTATTCAATTTGATTAATTTGGGCCAGCTTTAGCACAGCAAATTAATCAACAGCTGCAGTAGATCTTGCCAACCGAAAGGCTGACAGTTCAAAGCCAGGACAGGGTGAGCTCCTGGCCTTCAGCCCAGCTCCCCACCCACTTGGCAGATCAAAAAGAGCAATGTGAGTAGATGAATAGGTACAGCATTAAGTAGGGAGGTATTTTAGGCATGGCATTCAGAGGAAAGTTTACGAACAAAGAAAGCTCTCAGCAAGGAGATGGAGCGACAGCACCAAAACTGAGCACAGTCTCCAAAAGATGCCAAATGATGAGAAAAAGCCTAGACATACCTCTGTCTGTTGTCTGTCTTGTCATTGTATAATCAGCATTGAATCTTTGCTGTATATGTGTTTTGTTATCCATCCTGAGTCCCCTTTGTGGTGGGAAGGGCGGAATATAAGTACCGTATATTCTGGTGTATAAGACTACTTTTTAACCGAAGGAAAATCTTCTCAAAAGTCAGGGGTCGTCTTATACTCGGGAGTCATCTTATACTCGGGAGTCGTCTTATATGTGGGAGTCGTCTTATATGCCGGGAGTCATCTTATAGAGCGGGTGCTGAAACTTCCAATCCGAATTGGAGAATCTGTGGTTGCTGCATATTGTGGAGGGAGCTCAAAAATGACATGGCCGCATCCCTGCCGTATGCAGCGACTGTATGAAAGCATTAAGGGCAACGCTGTACAAGTATGGTGGAAGAAAATCCATTCATCAGGATCCATGGACTTAATGTGGTCCTGATGGTGAGGTGAAGGGGCGCCTCACCGGGAAGGTGTAAGTCAAGGGAGGAGCAAGCTGCAGGTGTCAGGGGCGCCCAGGGTATGGACAAAAGAGATAGAGTGGTTCTGGGCTCAGAAAAACACAACTCTTTTACCTGTCTGGCCCGCTCTTTTATCCTATTACTGTATCTCCTCCTCTGCCTCTCAGATCACGCTCCTGAAGACTGCAGTGAAGTGGTGCAGGTGCGCATGTGCGAGATCCTAGAGGCAGAGAAGGAGGTACAGTAATAGAAAAATTACCATATTGAAATCAAATCTGATGCTTTTTAAAATTTTATTTGGTGTGTGTTGGAAAAGGCATAGTCTTATACGGTGAGTATATCCCAAACTCTATATTTTAACTGGAAAAGTTGGGGGGGTCATCTTATACGTCCAGTCAACTTATATGCTGGAATATACGGTACTGTAAATAAATAAATTCATAAATTTGTCATTTATCCTTTTTTTGGGCTTCACGCAAATCTACCATTTGCCAAAATATATGATCTTGCTCTTTTTGCCTCCTAGATGTCATTGACCACGTTGCATACCTTGGTTCTTTGACACAGCTTTTTGTTGGTGACTTTATCTCTTATTGTCATTGCTCTCTGAGTCACCACCAGTTTTTCCTCCTCTTACTTTGTTGTTGCTCATGTTTCAGATGTGTATAACATTGTCGGTAGAACTGTAGCATTGAAGATATCTTCTCTGACCTTCATTGGCAGTTTAGCATCTGTTAGTACTCTTCGATTTTGAT